TTTCTAAAACCATTCAGGTTTCCCAGGCTTATGGAAAAGGACCTTCTGTGTCTTTCTATTTTGTTTAGTGTCTGGCTGTTTGATTTAAGAATACAATAAAAAGGGAAGAAAACATTCAACTTTAACTATTACGTACTTTTTGAAGCTGGGATAGTAATTTGTAAAACATCTATTTTTGCTTTTACATAAAAACAGCAAATACATGTTAAAATGATCCATCTGTGTACCTGTTTAGTCTGCAAGTTACAGGAAAAAGGCTTTGGGGGATAAATCTGCTTACCTAATTCACCCTTGTAATAATTTAATCAAAAGGAGTGCGTATTTTGAATGATGTGTCACAAACTGTATTATATCTTTAGAGGTGGAGCTAGAGCTGAGGGTCTTGCACCTCTGCAGACTCCTGCTCAGAGGCCACAGTGGAATCTGAATATTGTCCCAGGTAACTGCCTTGTTGGGAAGACACATCTGGACTGTTGAATCTCTTGGAGCAGGCACTTAAAACTGAGAATTGTGGAAGCTGTTCCCGTCCCATATTCTTGAAAAACACTCTTTTGAATTCTCATTAAAGGGATGATGGCTTCTTTCTCTCTGCTACAGCTGTGCTGTGGATTCCATACGATACCAAAACATTCTCCTTCCCCTGCTTTTCCCAAAGTATTCATGCCTAACGTGGCTGGTGGTATTGTATCTCAGTCTCCCAGATTACACAGGGTGCTCTGTTTTCTTGCTAATCTCAATATTTTACCAACTGCAGCTGTTTAACTTGCATTTTTGTACAGGAAAGAGCATAAAGTTTTCACGTTTGCCCATACTAACAGATACAAGGATGCCAAAATGTAGTATTAGGGATGTGCTGTGCTCTGGTCCCTTTCTATGCAACCTGGGAGATCTTGCTGTTTCTTAATGTTCTGATGAACGGGATATTCAGATTTTGAAAGTGTACTTGTCATTTTTAAACTGTTTGTTGGCCTGCAGGCCAACGGTTTGTGAGTTGCATTACAATGTAGTTTGTCCAGCCCCTGGTGGTCTAGGGGGTAAAGGTGCTGCACTGTCACTGCAGAGACCCGGGTTCGATTCCTGGTCAGGGCCACTCCCCAGGCAGATGGAGCTCGTTAGCCCTGTAAGGCAATCCATCTACGTCCTGAGGACCTCGCTGCCACCGTCCAAGCTCGCTTGGCCCCGGCAGATGAACCTCAGGATTAAAGGGTGGGCTCAGTTCCGCGCACACTGTGTCTCACCTAAAAAATCCAATGCGCAGGCTGGAAGG